AGATCATGACCTGAGCTGAAGGCAGAGGCTTTAACCCACTGAGCCACCCAAGCACTCCCCCTTTTTAAAGATATTATTCTTTTATTTTTATTTTTTTAAAGCCAATTCTTATTTTTTTAATTTTTAAAAAGATTTTATTTATTTATTTGTCAGAGAGAGAAAGCACAAGCAGGGGGAGTGGCTGAAGGAGAAGCTGGCTCCCCGCTGAGCAGGGAGCCCTGTGAGGCTGGATTCCAGGACCCTGGGATCATGACCCAGGCTGAAGGCATCTGCTTTACCGACTGAACGCCCCAGATGTCCGAAGATTTTATTTTTAAGTCTTCTCTGCTCCCAACGTGGGATCTGAACTTACAATCCCAACATTAAGAGTTGCACAGTCCCCTGACTGAGCTAGCCAGGGGCCCCGTAAACACTTTGATTTAACATATGTTTTATGTTTTTGTAGCACAATGATAATTACATATTGTGAAAATGACATATATTACATGTAATTTATTTGTTTTTTAAATAATTTAAAGATATTAATTTTTAATATTTAAATTTTAATAAATTTATTTTGATATATATAATATATAAATATAATAAATATAAAATTTAATACTTAAAGAAATAAGATGCAGCAGGCAGAAAAGAGGTGAAAGCAGGCCCCGCCGAGCATAGAGCCTGATGTGGGACTCCATCCCAGGACCCCAAGATCATGACCTGAGTCGAAGCTAGAGGCTTAACCCACTGAGCCACCCAGGTGCCCCTAAAATTATTTGTTAACTTGTGCTCTGTTTTGCTTCTATTAAATCCCAATTTATTCCATTTGGTTTCTGCAAGATCTGACTACATTATGTCTTCTAGATGATGGGGCCTAAGCATTCACTTATTGAAAACATATTTAATAATAAAAATTTGCCCCCCTCAAAATTTGTCCCATTATTCTTTCTTTTTATTCCAATTAAGGTAACTGTATTGATTCTTTTAAAGTATATGTGAAAGTAAGTCCTTAAAGAAAAAAGATTTTATTTATTTGAGAAAGAGAGAGACAATACAGCATGGGGAGCTGCAGGCAGATGGGGAAGCAGAGGAGCCTAACATGGGACTCGATCCCAGGACCCTGAGATCAGGGCTGCAGCCAAAGGCGGGCATTTAACCAACTGAGCTACCCAGGTGCCCTATAAGTGAGTCCTCTTATCTTTACATTGATTCCAGCCGGGGAAAGAAGCGTGTGTTAGGAAATATTTGCTAGGGGCGGGGTGGGGGGGCGCGCTCAGGCTGCAGAGCTAAGCTGCCCCTCCCAACTGAGAGTCAGTCGTCCCTGCTGCTGGGGAATTCCCAACACAGATTCCTTATGCAGCCTCAGGCCTTGACCGATGCTTTTGGAGAAAAGGATCCAGAGATGCTGCCACGCAGCTGGGACATCAGAAGCCAACGTGGGCTTCAACTTGGGATGACCTAAAGCAATGGCAACAAGTCCGGCTTTTGAAAATAACCAGCACCTGGCACAGAGTGTGGCACACCAGAGGCACTCAGGACATATGTGCTGTGTGTCATGGGATTCTGGACATGAATCCAGCTTCTACCACTGAGTGGCCACTGGACTTTGGGCAATTTTTTTTTTAAGATTTTATTTATTTATTTGACAGAGAGAGATCACAAGCAGGCAGAGAGGCAGGCAGAGAGAGAGGAGGAAGCAGGCTCCCCGCTGAGCAGAGAGCCTGATGAGGGGCTCAATCCCAGGACCCTGGGATCATGACCTGAGCCCAATGCAGAGGCTTTAACCCACTGAGCCACCCAGGTGCCCCTGGGCAATTTTTTTTTTTTAAGATTCTATTTATTTATTTTTTAAAGATTTATTTATTTATTTATTTGACAGACAGATCACAAGTAGGCAGAGAGGCAGGCAGAGAGAGAGAGAGGAGGAAGCAGGCTCCCCGCTGAGCAGAGCCCCATATGGGGCCCAATCCCAGGACCCTGAGATCACGACCTGAGCGGAAGGCAGAGGCTTAACCCACTGAGCCACACAGGCGCCCCTACTTTGGGCAATTTAATGACCTTTCAGAGTCTTAATTTCCTCGTCCTTAAAATGGAGGAAATGGGGGTACCTGGGTGACTCAGTCCGTTAAGTGCCCAACTTGTGATTTTGGCTCAGGTGGTGATCTCGGCGTCATGGGATCAAGCCCCGCATCAGGCTCTCTGGGCTCAGCAGGGAGCCTGCTTGCGGCGCCCCCAACTCTCTCTCTCTCTGTGTGTCTCTAAAATAATTAAGTAAATAAAATCCAATCAATAAATAACACAAGACGGGGAAGTTTTAGTATCCTCCTTGTGAGAACCAAACGAGACGGCGAACATGAAGTAGCACAGGGGGCGCCTGGGGACTCCCGCTCAGGTCATGATCCCGGGGTCCTGGGATCCAGCGCCACGTCCAGCTCCCTGCTCAGCGGGGGTCTGCTTCCCCCTCTCCGCGCTGCTCCTCCTGCTGGTACTCTCTGTCAAATAAGTAAAATCTTTTTAATTTAATTTTATTTATTTATTTGACAGACAGAGATCACAAGTAGGCAGAGAAGCAGGCAGAGAGGCAGAGAGAAGAAGGGAAGCAGGCTCCCCGCTGAGCAGAGAGCCTGATGCGGGGCTCGATCCCAGGACCCTGAGATCATGACGGGAGCTGAAGGCAGAGGCTCTAAGAGCCACCCAGGCGCCCCTTAAATAAGTAAAATCTTTTAAAAAATCCATAAAGTAGCACGGAATAAGTACTCCATAAATACGAGCTCTTATTATAACCAATAGTATTTATTTTTTATTCTTAAAGATTTTATTTTATTGTATTTATTTTTCTCTAGCAATCTCTTCACCGGCTTGGGGCTCGAACCCACGACCCCGAGACCGAGACTCACAGGCTCCACTGCCTGGGCCGGGCGGGCACCCCCTGCGGGAGAATTTTTACAAAGTGAAGGGTAAGAAGGAGAGACAGGAAACCCGCAAACTCGGCGCGGAAGGACGCGGGGCGGGGCTGGGGGCTCTGCGGCGGGGGCGTGGCGGGGCGGGGTGCGGGCAGCGAGGCCCGCGCAGGGCAGCGCTTCCTGGGGGAGCAGGAAGTCCGGGGCAGGCGTGACCCGCTGCCTCGGTCCCTTCAGTGCCGCCGCCCCCGCCCCCGCCCCCGCCGGCTCGGGCGCGCGCGCAGGTGGCTCGGCCGGGCCTTCGCGGAGAGACGCGGGCCTCAGCGAGGCGGGGCCTGGCGCTGCGCGTGCGCGCGGGCGCTCTCCAGCCTGGGAGGGCGAGCGGCCCCTCCGCCCCGTAGGTGGGAGGGCGGCCCCGCGGGGAGGGGCGCAGAGGCGCGGCCCGTGTCGCGGGCCCTGTCCCCACCGCCGCGCCCCTGCCCCCCGCACCCGTTCGCGCGGCTTCTGAAGAGTCTCTAGAAACGCTCGCAGACTCCGCTCATCCTCGTCGGCCGGAGCCCATGCCCTCTCCGGCCTGCGAGCGGGAGCGGGTCGCGGCGGGTCGCTGGGCTCCAGCCAGGGAGGGGGTCAGAGAAGGGCTATGGCCGGGCTCTCCGCACGCAGCCTCACTGCGTCTTTGGGGGGCGGCCCTGTTCCCAGGCAAGACTGATGATGTGGGGGGACGACTGGAAAGCTCTGGGTCCAACGAGATCGTGACCGTCTCTCCCGCACCACTCTGTGGTCAGCGGAAAGCGAGGACGCCGGCCGGCCACACAGACCACGGCGTCGGGCTTCCCATCCCGAGGGCAGTGGGTATGGCCCAGCGCGACTGAGACGGTGACCGAAGGTCGCACATCCAGTACTTGGCGGAGCTGGGGCTCAACCCAGCTTGCCCCCCCAGGCTGGCCTCGGTGCTCTCCGAATCTAGAAGAAAGAACCGACTGTGCCTGCAGTGTGTCTGGAAAGTCTTCCCTGAAATAATTTAAAAAGCCCAAAGACCCCACAAAGAAGCAGTTCCTGAGCAGCTCCAGGCTCCAGGCGCTGTTTGGCTTACAGATCCGGGAGTGACCCTCGGCGGCGGCGGCGGGGATGGGGGGTGGGGGGGCGACCTGCTTCGTCTCACAGAGGAGCAATTGGCTCCACGCTCCCGCTGTATTGTAGGCATGGTGGTCCCTGGCCACCATCGTGGACAACCCCCTGCTCACGTCCACTGAGGACACAGCTGTGGACACTTTCTGGTTTCTGAACCTCACAACTTCCCTGTTCTGGCGGAAGGGAAACCAGTCATGACAGTCCTCATCTGATGACAAAACGTGGCCCAAGAGGCCTGATGCTGGTGACTCCTGCCCTCCAGGTGTGCAGGCCCTCTGCCCAGGGCCCATCCTCCCTGCTCTTCTGCCTCTTCTCCTACAGGAAGCCTTCCTGGGTCACTCCCACCATGAGCACCTGTCAGCTCATGTTTATCTGGAAGCATCTGCGTAGAACCTCTGGAGGGCAAACTGTACCTTAGCCGTCTCCCAGCATCCTGGGGCTGAACCTGCTTTTATTAGTATCGCCTTTATTGGTATTACTTTACTTTTATTTTTAATTTTTTTCTTCTTTTTTCTTTTTTTCTAAGTAAGCTTGCCCAACATGGAGCTTGAACTCACAACCCCGAGATCGAGAGGTGCACGCCCTGCCCACCGCGCCGGCCAGGAGCCCCATCTTCGTTAGGTATTCCTTTTTTTTCCTTAAGGATTTTTTTAAATTTTATTTCTCAAGGAAGCAGTTGCCTGCTGTGGCTCCCGTCCTCTGGGCTTCGGGCGCCGTGACACCACCGTGCACTCCGCTCTCTGGTCCAGATTCTTCCTGAGGTTGTCATCCACACGTGGCTCCCGCAGTTTCACAGTGAATAATCGCGGACAGCCGGGAGGAAGCAAGCCGCCCTTCACAAGTATGGTTGCAGTTGCCTCACTTCCTGTGTCACGTGATGTGCCCATAGTTGTCACATGACCCACTTGCCCCGTTCTGCCCGACTTAAACCTGCAGGACGAATTCCGGGTCTGCAGCTGCGGCTGGGACCTGCATCCCTGTTCTCATCTAGTGGATCCTGCATTCTTCCGAGGCTGGAACCCCACAGCCCCTCACCTGCTGATGGAGTTTTCAAGTCCTCCCAGAGGAGTGAGTGGGCCCGAGCTCCCCATCGGTCTTGTCACGCCACTTCTGGAGTCCTGGCCATCCGGACCCTGGAATTCAGGGAATGATGGTCTCCTCCGACCCAGGCCATCACGGCTCTTCGATGGAGGGGCAGAGAGAGAGGGAGAGAGGGAGGGAGGGAGGGGTGGGGGGAGAGAGGGAGGGGTGGAGGGAGAGAGGGAGGAAGGGAGGGGTGGGGGGAGGGAGAGAGGGAGGGAGGGAGGGGTGGGGGGAGAGGCGGTGGGAAGAGGGGAAGAGAAGGGTCCTGGTTGGGGTGGGCAGCAGCCAGGTGTCTGTTGGAGGGCGGCGGGAGACTAGACCGTGGGCATCCAGCCCACAGGAGAGAGCCGGGGCGTGGAGAGGGGCTTGCCTCCCAGCCGCTCCTCATTCTGTTCTCAGGAATGTTCCCGGCCTCTGGACAGGGCGGGTGTCAGGGCTGCCCGCCTCACGGGACTGCTGTTCCTTCAGGTGATATCGTGGGCATCAGGTGAGCGAGTCACGGAGACGGGAGGCAGCCCCCCGGCTCCTCCTGCCTGGTGGTCCTTGGTCGCCTTCTGCCGTACCAGAGCACCAGGAGGTGTCGAGTAACCACTTTGGAGGGACTGAGACCAGGCACGGGTGGGGGTACAGCGAGAGGACTTTTGAAACCAGCGTGTCCCTTCTCGGTCTTCGTCCTGCAGCCCTGGCCTCCGCTTGTGCTCCCTCCCACCCAGGTGCCCGGCCCTGCAGCCCTAAAAGCTTCGGCTACAGCTCGGTGGTGTGTGTCTGCAACGCCACGTACTGTGACTCTCTTGACCCCCTGACCCTGCCGGCCCCGGGCACCTTCAGCCGCTACGAGAGCACGCGCAGTGGACGCCGGATGGAGCGGAGTCTGGGGACCATCCAGGCCAACCGCACGGGCACAGGTGACCAGGACAGGCTGGGGTCCCCCCAGAGCTGTCATGCTAGTGACAGCCACGACCTTCTTCCTTGGGCACTGAGACCCTTTGTTCCCTGTGCATGTTCTCAGGGCTCCTGCTGACCCTGCAGCCAGACCAGAAGTTCCAGAAGGTGAAGGGGTTTGGAGGGGCCATGACAGATGCTGCTGCCCTCAACATCCTCGCCCTGTCCCCCGATGCCCGGAACTTGCTGCTCAAATCTTATTTCTCTGAAGAAGGTGAGCAGGAGGGGGACGAGATGAGAATGTGGTGGACCCTTCGACCTTTCCATTGACCACGACTTCCACCCATTCCACATGTGGGTCCTCCCTCAGTGCCCCGTGGAGTAAGTGTCCGACCTGCCTGTCCTTGAGTGTTTAGGGATGCCGAGGCTCAGAAACCCGGGCTCTCCTGGGCCTGCCTCGGACGTCACTGAGGACTGAGGGTAGGCCGGGTCACACACTCTCCTGCCGACCTGGACCCTCCTGTCTTGGCCTTTTCTTTGTGCAGGCATCGAGTACAACATCATCAGGGTCCCCATGGCCAGCTGTGACTTCTCCGTCCGCACCTACACGTACGATGACACCCCTGATGACTTCCAGTTACGAGACTTCAGCCTCCCCGAGGAGGACCTCAAGCTGAAGGTGGGCTCCCGGACCTGGTGGGGTCAATGCCTGCTGGCTGCGGAGCCGCAGGCCAGAGCAGGGCACGGAGAGACACAGAGCCTGGCCCCTGCTGTGCTGTGTCCTGGGGTGGGGGGGCAGGGCGGGGGCCCATGGCAAGGCCTGATGCACTGGTCGGGCCAGTCTGTCCATATTCCAGCTCTCACAGTTTCTCTCCTCACCTCCACTGTCTCCAGATACCCCTGATTCACCAAGCTCTGGCGCTGGCCCAGCGCCCCGTGTCACTGTTTGCCAGTCCCTGGACATCACCCACGTGGCTGAAGACCAATGGGGCCATGAATGGGAAGGGGTCGCTCAAGGGTCAGCCTGGGGATATCTACCACCAGACCTGGGCCAGATACTTTGTGAAGTAAGGAAGCCGCAAGGCCATAGGGTCTGGACCAGCTCCCCTCTTGGGACACCCTCATCTCTGCCCCACTCCTGGACCTGGGTCACCCCCAGCTCGGACTGCTCAGATCACTTTTCTACCTCCTGGGCCTTTCAGACTTGGCCTGTCCGTTTCCCCTGTCTTGATGGGCCTCCTGATCCCCCAGGGTCTTGGTCCCCTTTCTTGGCCAGGCTCACTCGTGCCCTTTGCCCTGCCAGGTTCCTGGATGTCTATGCAGAGCACAAGCTACACTTCTGGGCAGTGACGGCAGAAAACGAGCCTTCGGCAGGGCTGCTCAGTGGGTACCCCTTCCAGTGCCTGGGTTTCACGCCTGAGCACCAGCGAGACTTCATTGCCCGGGACCTGGGTCCCGCCCTTGCCAACAGTACGCACCGCGACACCCGTCTGCTCATTCTGGATGACCAGCGCTTGCTCCTGCCGCACTGGGCCCAGGTGGTAAGGTCCAGTGCCCCCCGCGGTGTCCCGGTGGTCCCCAAATCTAGCATCCAGGTGGCTGGCGCCGAGTGTCTTCCCTGTTCCAGCTCTCGATTCCCTGGGCTGGAGCCAGGCACCCCAGAGGCTCCCCTGGGGTGCTGACCCCCTAGATCCCAGGGCCCCAGGGTTGTCACCTGGAGCCCCTCTAGTCGCCTGCATCCCACTGCCCATTTCTCTGGTCCCCGATGCTGCTTCCAGAACCCTCCACGCAGGGCCCAGATTCAGTGGCCACTCTCCCCAGGAGTCTTTGCCCTTCCTGGCATAGGTGCTGGCAGACCCAGAGGCAGCTAAGTACGTGCACGGTGTGGCCGTGCACTGGTACCTGGACTTCCTGGCCCCAGCCAAGGCCACCCTGGGGGAGACACACCGCCTCTTCCCCGACATCATGCTTTTCGCCTCGGAGGCCTGTGTGGGCTCCAAGTTCTGGGAGCAGAGTGTGCGCCTGGGCTCTTGGGACCGGGGAGTACAATACAGTCACAGCATCATCACGGTGAGCCCCCAGGACCCTGCCGGGCACACCTCCGCAGGCCCTCTTGGCCTCTGAGCCAACCATCCCCCGCTGGCTTGCTCTTTGGGGCAAATTTTGGGTTCTCGTCATTCCCTGTCGTGCCCTCCCTCCCAGACAGGCACACTCCGTTACCCCTCCTCCTCACGCCGGGGTCTCGGGTGGTCCTACCTGCCTCGGTTTCTCAGCTTTTCATCCCATGCCTCCGTCCCCAGCACCCTGCCCTCCCACGCTGTGAGGGTGCAGAGCACCCCTCCTTGGCCTGGGACACCCCCATCTGTCTTCCTCATGCGACCCTTCAGGACATGGTCTGGGGACCCCATGTGGAGCCTTTGTTTCTGCCCCACTCCCACCCAGAACCTCCTGTACCACGTGGCCGGCTGGACCGACTGGAACCTGGCCCTGAACCCAGAAGGGGGGCCCAACTGGGTGCGCAACTTTGTGGACAGTCCCATCATCGTCGACATCGCCAAGGACACGTTTTACAAACAGCCCATGTTCTATCATCTCGGGCACTTTAGGTGAGGGGAGGGCGGCCCCATGTCCCACGCCGCCACCCCAGGCAGGAAGGGAGCAGGGCGGGAAGTGAGCGCGCAGCTTCAGCCCTGGCTCTGGGGGTGTGCGGGGGGGGGGTGACTTCTCAGCAAGGGGGAGGGGCCCCACCTGACGATGCCTGCTCCCACCTCAGCAAGTTCATTCCCGAGGGCTCCCGGAGAGTGGGGCTGCTGGCCAGCCAGAAGAACAGCCTGGATGTAGTGGCGCTGACCCGTCCCGATGGCTCTGCGGTTGTGGTGGTGCTGAACCGGTGAGAGCAGCGGGGCCGGGGCCGGGGGCGGGGGGCCAGACGGTGGCCTTGGCAGGCTGAGGGCTCAGCTTCTCTGCCCTTCCTTTGCCAGCTCCCCGAAGGATGTGCCTCTCACCATCGAGGACCCTGGCGTGGGCTTCGTGGAGACGCTGTCCCCGGGCCACTCCATCCACACCTACCTGTGGAGCCGCCCATGACGGAGCCTGGGTGTGGGCATTAAAGGGGTACAGCCAGCTCACACACTGTCGGTGGCTGAGAGGACCTAGGCGGGCTGGGCTGAGCATAGGTGACGTAAGCCCGGAGCAGTGGTTTGGGTGACTCACTCTCCCCCTGGCCGATGCTTGGGGAGGCCCCTCAGGGAGGAAAGGGAAGCCCCAGCGCCCTCCACTCCCGCCATGCACTGTGTGCCGGCTCCACGGAAACTGGGCCGGGGCCCAGAGTGAGCTCACCGTCTGTGCAAACACAGGCTGGGACTGGGGGGGCGGCTGGGGAGGGGAGGAGGTGAGGAGGGCCGGGCCCCACGCCACCGCCTACATACCAGCTAGGGAAGACAGTGGCCCCGTCACCAAGAGAGGGTCTGATTCCGGTCAGTGTGGTTTATTTTGGGAGGGGCACTCCCACTTCTAGCCCTGCCGAGGACGGGGGCCTCTGGAATGTACAACAGTAGAAAAGTCAGTCCCGGGGTCGGGGGGCAGGTGTGAGGACAGGTCACTCCTCCTCATCCTCCTCAGCCATGCTCAGGGACCGCGTGCCCGGGGCCCGAGCAGGTGTCGCCCGCTGGATGGAGACGATGCCACTGAGCAGGGCGTAGCCCGCCATGGCCGCCAGGCCCGCCAGCACGGACAGGATCTGGTTCCGCCGCCGGTTGGGCTCCTCCTCCGTGTCCGGGCCCGCGGGCGTCGGGCGGGGGAGCGGCACCTCAGCTGAGGACCGGGGAAGGAAGATGGGCACAGGGGCTCGTCCTAGACCCCTGCCCACCTTCCCGGGGAGGCCGCTGCGTGCCCCTCACCTCCATCCCAGGGGAAGTAGAGGCTGAGGATGTGGGTGCAGTAGGCACAGAGGTTCTGCAGCCCCCGCAGGTGGGCCTGCAGCTTTCCACTGGGCAGCTTAGCCTGGAGCAGCAGCGCCAAGTAGCCAAACACAAAGGCGTCCAGGGAGGCAGGGCTGGAGCCGAGAGAAGGGCCGGAGGAGAGAGACTGAGGCAGAAGGGGCGGGGACAGACGGGGCGGGGGACAGCAGGCCCCTGGACGTGGGCTCTGGTAGCAGAGGGCCCCCAGGGGAGGAGCGGACACCCGGTTCTGGGGCTGGCTCCGGACCTGGCTTGGGGAGGGTTCCCTGGGTGGCGCCAGCCCGGCCCTGAATGGGACTCTATCCCGGGGCTGCATAAAGGGCACATTGAGCACCCCGCAGCCCTGAGGGCCCCTCCCCGCCAGGCCTGGCAGCCCTCCCACCTCACACACAGCCCCACTGTCACCAGGCCCAGTGTCTGTCCCTAGGACCTCCTGTCGGGCGCCTGAGCCACCCCAGTCCCTGTGGCGACATCGGAACCCGTATCCCCTCCCAAACCCTCTCCCTTCCCCCGGGGACAGACTCACGCGTCTCCAAAGAAGAACTTCTGGGAGCCCAGGCGTTGCGAGAGCAGGGTCAGGCACTCCCGGGCCTCGTGGTACAGCTGGAGGGGGCACACGGGCGGGCTCGTGGCCGCGGGACGGAGCCGCCACCCGTGCTGGGCTGCCCCCCACCTTCTTGACCATCGTCTTTGGGGCTCCTGGCCGGCAGCAGCCCCCCGCCCCAGACGTACCTCCTTCTCCAGCTCTTCCTCGCTCTCGGGCCGGTGCTCCCCGCACAGCAGCTGCAGCCGCTCCATGAACTGCCGCTGCATGCGGCCGGGAAGGAAGAAGTTCAGGGGAAAGGGTGTGGCCTCCGCGTACCACTTCCGGGTCACCTCCACGTAGTTCTTGGTGTCCACCCAGAAAGTGTGTATCTGGGTTGGGGAGGCAGAAGGATGAAGCTGGTCTGAGCCAGTGCAGCTGCCTGACTTACGGTGGGCTTCTGGGCTGCCCCCGGGCTCCGTGTGCCTGCGTGCGTGTCCCTGACACCCCCCCAGCACCCCCCACCTTACTGGCCACAGATGCTGGGAGGTCTGGGCGCACTCACCAGCACCGGGAGCAGCTTCTCCTCCAGCAGAGACATGAAGGCCAAGGTGTCCGCCCCTTGCCGGGCCGACAGGTCATAATCAGCGTTGTACTTCTGCGGATGAGATGCCCGTGAGCTGGACACCAGGAGGCTCCAGGGCACGTCCCCAAGGAGTGAGGCATCCTGCCTGGGACCACCCTCATGGCCTCTGAGTGGAGTAGAGCTAGAGCAAGCAGCTTTTCCCGCTGAGGCCCCCTTGCCCGGCCTGGCCAGGAGCCTGTTGCTGTTGGCGGAAAGCCTGGGCCTCAAAGCCTGCTGGCCATCAAGGTCGGGCGCCCACTGCGGGGAGAAAGGCAGGCCCAGCCACAAACCAGGAGCAGCTCCCGGAGCCTCCATGGAAAGCTGGCAGCTTGCCTGCTGACGGCAGCTTTCGGACAGGAACTTCCCCAGTCCAGGTACCGCAGGGCTGGAACAGCAGAGCTCAGAGGCCGTGTGGGCCTCCGTCCATGCCTCAGGAACTAGGGGATGCTATCTTCAGCCCCAGGCCCCCTAGCTTGTTCTCTCAGTGCCCGGGGCTATTTCTTCTATCTCATTCTGTGGCCTGGGCGCCACCACACATGTTCTAACAACACCCCATGTGTACTCAGCCTGGCACACACTGCTGCAGGCTCCAGTGTCTGGTCCTCAGCAACACCTTCCACATCCTGAGCAAGTTTTGTCCCCACATAACCTCTGGAACATGATCCTCAAAAAAATACCCCCAAACTTCTCTGAGCCTCAGTTTCTCCCTTGTAGACTCTTCTCTCAATGTGGCTGTGTTAGGAGAACACTCTGGAAACCGGAAAAGCTGTGTTCATTCATAAGGACTCAGGGTGGTGGTCCAGTCCCTGCCCGGAACTTTGCCTTCTACCTGGTTCCCCTCTCTCCATTGCCTCCCAAGCCTCCAGGGAATTCCCCAGCTCCTTCACCTTTGGGAAAGCAGAAATGAAGAGGAGGGCGCTACTTCGCACTACTTCTGACAAGTGTAGAGGAGCCACTGGAAAACATTCTGCCTAAGCCCCCTCCTTTATGAACAAAGAACTTATAGACGTGAAAGAGGAAGGAACTTGCCCAAGGTCACACAGTCAAGGACAGAGGAAAAAGCACACTCAAGGTATCTCTATTCCTCTTGTAATACTCCCTCAACTTCCCCGTGCTGGCTTGAAGTCTTGTCCATCCCAAGCCCCATATCCAGCCCAACCTGGTCCTGTGAGAAGGACAGGAGCCACCTCTCAGGGCCTCATCTGAGCCACCCGCCTTTCTCTTCCCTGTGTCATCAGCCTGTTTGCCTCTCCCTCCCTGCCCAGCAGGCAAAAGGCACTGTGCCTTGGGATGCATCCCCAGCGCCCCTGCTTCATGCCCGGCCTAGTGCTTTACTGCGCTCAGCCGCTCTGGGTGTGTCTCCCCCATTGGACAACGTGCTCCTTGAAGCTTTGGGTCCCCTGCCTCTAGCCTGGCACTTATCAATAAAGGTGTGTTGCACTGAAATGACTGAGCTGCTCTCACTGGCAGCCCCCCTACCTGAGCCACCTACCTCTTTCCGAAGGTGGGTGATGATCTTGTGTGGTACCGAGATGACCTCTCCATGACTGGTCCGCAGGGCAGGCAGAGTTCCTGACGTTGAAAAAAAAGGACACCCACCAAACTCTTAGCTGCCTTTCCATACGGACTTGCACCACATTCCTGTCCGCCTCCTGCTCCACCCTTCCTCACCCCCAGGAACACGGGGTACCTGAAGGGCTCTGCCAGGGGTTGGTGATCTTGTGCACCTTGAGTGGGGCACCCGTGAATCTGGCATAGGTCTGCAGGGAAGGAAGCAGAAGGCAGAGAGGCCCCAACAGGGGAATCAGGAAGACAGAGAACATTTATTGAGTTCCTTGCATGCTAGGCTTTGTACTTGCCTCACAAAAGAAGAGGTGGACGTTACAGCTGCCCTTTTCACAATGGGCAACACAGGGCTGAGAGAGATGGTGAACAGGTCTGCCAGTCAAAGCCTCCCCCGTCTCCTCTCCTGCCATCTGCTTGATGTACACAGAGCCTCCTAAGTTCTTCCTAACCGTGTATTCCTTTCCTTGGAAGCACTGACCATGTCCTTCTCTAGGAGTCTCTGTGGCCTGCTCCTCCTTAAGCCTTAGTACCTGAACACGTTGGCTTTACTTGCAAACGTGTCTGCCTTTCTCTGAACAACCACACGGGAGGAACCAAGTCGTATTCATCTTTGCATGCCAATGGGTGGTTTTGGAAGCGGCCTGATCCTGCTTATTAAAGGAAGGGGTGAGTGAATGAGGCGAACGAGTCTTTCTGACCGGAAAGCTCTTTCCACAGAGCTTGGCGGCAATACACAAACCAGGAAATGCTGTTTAGTGAGCAGGAGGGGGAGGGGGAGGGGACAGGAATACCGAGCCTGAGAGCCCTGAGGTCGTCCAGGCTCAGTAAACCTCCCGATGAAGAAACAGCGCTCAGAGACGAGAAGGGATCGCCCCAAGGTCACACAGCCTGTAAATGGGTGTGCAAGGACTAACACCCATTTCCTGAACCCCCGATCAAGCCTCTTGCTGTGGCTGCACAAAACCTAGGCTGTCAGGCCATAGGGCACTGAGCCCATGTGCGCCAGGCACACACACACACACACACACACACACACACACACACACACACACAAATCTTAAATTGCCTCAGTTTCTCCCAGTGCTCCCGGGCGGAGGCGCCTAGCGAAATTCGGACGATCGGCCAGTTCGGCTCCCGCCCCAGTGCTCCAGAGCGCAACAGAGAGCAACGGCGCCACCCCTCACCAGCACGGCCAGGCTGTCCAGGTCTACTGAGGGCAGCCCCCAGCCCCCCGACCAGCAGAACAGCTCCATGGGCGCCGCCATCTTGCCCGCCCTCTGTCCCGGAAGCACCTCCCCCCGCGCTTCCGCCCGCCCCTCCCCTCGGGCCGCCCGAGGCGGGGGCCCGAGCGAGCTGCGCGGCGAGGCGGGGCGGGGCGGGGCCGAGGGCTTCGGGGGAGGGCGGCCGCCGCGGGCTCCAGAGGCGGGACCCGAAGGGGGGAGGGGTTCTCGGCGG